CTTGTAGCATGGAATGGAGGTGTGTCAGCAAACGAACTGATACATACTGCAGGAGATCGTAGCTTGTGGAGAGGCAAGGAAAGTTGCTAAGGCACCTGATGATGATGATTATCAAATGCCATATTGTTTCTCCACTGCAACATAGTTGGGTTTTTCTCGGCTAGACGAGATCAGTCACAAAAAGAATGGACGAATACGCTAGTAGACATGCAGGGCATCATACTGGGCAGGCACGACAGGGAACATTCATGCTGCTGTAGATACAGAGGTTAGGCACTGATAGATCAGCATTTACAAAGAGAAGACATCGTCATCTACACAGATGAAGCGCGGAACAAGGTCAGCATGGGCATACACAGCACAAAGAATAGGGACAATAATAATAGAAGACAGCGGCGCTTACCAGGCAACCACTTCAAGCATGAATATGGAGATAGCCACTGCATCTAGAGCGCTATCTTGTGTATCTAAGCAAACAGCCACAGATGCAATAATTGTACCAGACTTCATGAACATGCTTTAAAAATAGCAACAGGCAGTATGTGGTCTGAACAGGTAGAACGCATTTGAAAATCGACCTCTCTCACCTGGATCTGCACACTTGGTCAAGCTGGCGTAATGGGGAATGAGTTAGCTGACCAGCTGAACAGCAATGTACCAGCTCATATGGAAAGAAGCATGGACAAAGCAGATATCATCAATGCTGAACGGACTGGTCTGTTGGATAGTGACGAATTTCCAAAGCTAGCACGATTACGTTACATAGGAGCAAAGCATGGCGAAGCCTCTGAGGCCGAGACAGGATACACTATGACCACGCTCTTATGGGAAAAATTAGTTGAAATACCTTGCAGTGGCTTTTGTATCGAGCGATTGAGCACGCATGGGAATGCCCGATGTTCAGTGGTGTCCACTGTGATAACCTAACTAACTCGCACATGTCCTGTTGTGTTATGAACTACAAAATTGACAAGAATGGCTGTGTCTCCCATATACAGGTGCGAGAAGACAGAGACGAAACTATAATAATCCATATGGACGCTGTAAGTAGACACCAACAAAGTAGTGTGGATGTATAACTATTACTGTATTAATATTCCATAATCTACTTGTATTCTACACACATTGCACGATGCCTTTTTTGCTTGTATTTTTCTTCTTGTGTTTGCTTTTCTTCTTTTTCTTCGTCGTCGTCTTCTTCTTTTTCTTCTTCTTCTGTTTCTTCTTATTCTTTTTCTTGTTTTTTCTTCTTCTTCTTCTTCTTCTTCTTCTTCTTCTTCTTCTTCTTCTTCTTCTTCTTCTTCTTCTTCTTCTTCTTCTTCTTCTTCTTCTTCTTCTTCTTTTTTTTTTCGTCTTCCCAGTTTCCTTCTTCTTCTTCTTTTTCTTCTTTTTCTTCTTCTTCTTCTTCTTCTTCTTCTTCTTCTTCTTCTTCTTCTTCTTCTTCTTCTTCTTCTTCTTCTTCTTCTTCTTCTTCTTCTTCTTCTTCTTCTTCTTCTTCTTCTTCTTTTTCTTCTTCTTCTTCTTCTTCTTGTATTTTTTTTTTGCAGTTATTTTCAAATTATGTGTCAAGTTATCAAGTTGACTATTTTTGAAGAAAATAATCCAGCCTAAAAGGTGCTTTCATCGCGTATCGTGGCAGGATGGCCTGTCTGCTCCACGAATTCTCAGAGCTATGCCGGGAGGGATTTTGTAACCCGGGCAGGTTTAATCGTGTCTGACATGTTTTGAGATAAAGGGTCGGACTAAACTAGCACTCTGGTCTTTCACTCTCAGGATTGGGCAAGAGGTTGACAAACCTATAATAAAAAAAAATATTCTGTTATGAACGCGGAATCAAGTCAAATCACTGCACCTGTAGAAAGTATTTAAGCTAGCCTACTGGCAACATGGCGGATATAAATCAAAGCCGAAAAGAAGCCAAGGGCCCAATAGTGAATATTTCTTTCTTTCACCGTAGACTGAACTGAAGGAATGTAAATAACAATGGGATACCATAGACAGACAAGCAGCAGACCGACAGCAACGGAGATCACTTATGTGTATGCTTTAAAAACCAATCCTGGGCCCAGGGACTACTTCCTAAGGAATAGAAGGAGGCAGAAATACTTCCCATAGCCAAGAATGAAAAGCCCAAGGAAAACAAATCCAGTTACCGCCCCATAAGCCTCCTAAGCTGTCTTGGAAAGACCATGGAAAGATTAGTGAACAACAGGTTACCAAATTTCCTAGAAGAAAACAAGATATTGAATGACAGCCAATCAGGCTTCAGGAGATACAGAAGCACTGATGACCAAACCTCTTATCTCGAACAGGAAATTGAAGATGCTTTCCAGAAAAAATACAAACTGCTAGCTACTTTCTTCGACCTGACCAAAGCCTTCAATGTCTGGAAGAAAAGATTCTTGCTATGACTAGCACACTGTGGGATAAAAGGGCATATGTTTGCCTGGATTAGAAACTTCCTTTACCGACGATGTGCGAGAGTCAGACTAGACGATCACAAGAGCAAGCTGGTCATGTTTCAAGAAGGTGTCCCCCAGGGAGGTGTTGTATCTACTACCATGTTTATTCTTTTCATCAATGACCTCCAAAAACAGTTCACGACTCACATTCACAAGGCGCTACATGCAGATGAGTTGGCCATATTGACTCAAGCTGAACACATAGGAACAACTAAAACAAGAATGCAGGAAGCTATACATACAGTTAAGAAATGGACAGACTCTTGGGGAGTAACAATAAACCAGACCAAAACCGTGTCAACTTTATTCTCTCTTTCCACAAAGCCAGAACAAGTAGATCTGTACTTAGAAAGCAACATCCTTCCAATAAAGGATAACCCCACATATTTGGGAGTAAAATTTGACAGAAGGCTAACCTGGGGTCCCCACATTGAAGACACCCAAAGGAAAGCTACCCTGGGGCTCAGACATGAAAAAACTCACTGGAGCAAGCTAGGGTGCAGATGCCAACACTGTACGACAAGTATACACTGGATACGAACGTCCAAAACTGGAGTATGGCATAGAAGCATGCTCCACTGCAGCCAAATCAAACCTATACAAACTGGATAAAATACAGAACACTGGTCTCAGAATTATCACTAGAGGTATGAGAAGCACACCAATTAATGAGCTGGAGGCAACCTGTGGATTCGAGAGCTTGAGCTCTCGGAGGGAAGAAAAGGTGCTTACCCTAACAGAAAAATTTAAACGCATGAACAACAACCCAATGCACAGAATAGCAAATAACTTAACCAAAAACCGACTGAAAAGACAAAGCTTTCACCATTTATCAAAATTGTACTACACAAAAAAAAAAAAAAAAAAAACCAGTCACATCCTTTCTAAAGATTTCTCAAAAAGGGAAATGATCCAGGCATACAGCATAGACCTACAGCCTAAATATAAAGTCACAACAACAATTCCAGGCATAGACAGATAGGCTAATGAATGTGACCTAGTACTGCGTGCAAAGACCCTTGAACATGTCTACAACTGCTATCAAAAACCCGAATGGACACACGAATACACCGATGGATCATTGGAGGGAGCAGACAAAAATGGAGGAGCTGGATCGCTCATCGTGCTGCAAGATGGGACCGCAGTAGAAACGTTAAGAGCCTCCGGAAGACTCTCAACAAACTTCAGAGCAGAGCAGCAAGCAATTATTGATTCAGCCAAAGTGCTCTAGGAAAGATACATTAAAAACAGCAAAATTGTTTTTCTTTGTGACTGCATGTCAGTCCTCCAGGCGACTTATAGGGATCCACGAGACAGCATGGAAAGAGAACTGACCCGTCAGCTAAACAGACTAATAGAAAACAATTAAATCCTCACCTTACTGCCACATGAAGTTGTAACACACACACAATTTATAAGTGGAGCACCCACAACAGCCACATTAGCCTGGTGAAACCTTCAGTCCATGCGGGTAAGAATATTTACTACCAATATACTTTAAAAAAAAAAAAAACTTGTAGTTACTGAAAGGAATATAAATTTATAATAATTGTTTACTTTAAAAATCTTTTTAATTAATTAGTGCAATTTTTTTTTTCAAATTGCAGACAAGAATACCATAGGTTGCAATTTAACTGCAAGTTCTTTTGCATATGGGTCATCGATAGTTAATCCTCCTACGGGCTTTTCCATCTTCTCTTTTTCTTCTTCTTCACTTCCTCTTTTACCGCTGTGGGTGTCGAGGGAGATATAAGGTTCTATTTCTAGCTCTTCTGGCTGCCTCGACCATAGGCACATCGTGCTGTTGTAGAGTTTCTCTGATATTATCCTTCTATATTTTTGGGTCTACCTCTTGCTCTAATTCCTTCTTCTCTTTCCATGTATGCTTTGTATAGTATGACGTCACAAGGCATTCTCTCTAAGTGGGTAAACCATTTCACTTGCTGTCTTTGTATGTAATTTAGAATTGGTTCTATGCCGACTTTTTCTCTTATGATCTCATTCCTGATTTTATCTCTTATGGTCACTCCTACAGCCATTCTCAGACATCTGGTTTCCATGGTTACTAATTTTCTTTTATGATTTGTTGTGAGTGACCATGTCTGGCATTGGTAGCACAGAGTTGGAATAAATATGCTTTGAATAAGATGTCTCTTTGTGCTGATTGGGATTGTCTTATGCTGTAAGAGGGGAGCTAGCTGTCCCAATACTTGGTTTGCTTTACTGCATCTAATGTTAATTTCTTTATCCAATTTCCCATCTTCGGTAAATGTAGTTCCTAGATATTTAAACGCAGATGCCTGTTTAATGGCTTTCCCATCAACTAATAAAAACGCGCCATAGAATAACTATGCGGTGTTTTTCTTCTTAAACAGTATACAAATGTTACATTTTACTGTGTATGTTATACGCCAGACAAGTTTATGCGATTTAACAGTTAAAGTTTTAATTATGCTATTGCTAATATGCTGGTTTTCTACATTGTTCTATAAACTCACAAAGTTACTGATACATTTGAATTCCAGTGAAGGAAGTTTGATGCAAACACAGAGGCTGCCTGGTGCTGTACATGATTTTCAACACAACACCCGAGACAAATGGCTCCAAGTGCGCATACAGAGACCAGCTGAAGCAGAACCAGCTGGCAGTCTTCATGAGGGTGATATTTTTGTATACAATACAAATATATTTCCTTTACATGATTTTATTTTGAATAGGTTCAAGGATTCCGTACCTGGAAAAGAACTGTTTTACCACGGTACCACCAGAGACTCAGCAATAAGTATAATAGAAAGAGGAATCGATGTAACAATGTCAAAGCGACCTGTTGATTTCTCATATGGCAAAGGGTTTTATGTTACTGACAACTATGGAAAAGCTGTTGAGTGGAGTCAAAGAAAAGGGGAGTTCGATGGTAGCAAACCAGCTATTATAGTTTTCAAAATCGACAGTAACAATCGCAGACATGAGACACACTTGTCTTTGAACGTGGACAACGTAACAAATCGGAAGTTTTGGGAATGTGTCGTTTCTCATTTCCGGCACAAAGAGACATCTCCAGATATCGCACGTATACTGAGGGACGTGAAGTATATCGAGGGCCCTGTTTCTATAAATACCAGTCTAGAAGAAGAGGAGATCCCTACTCCTTCGGAATTTGGGAGGTTTCGTCAGTTGTGCATCTGTAACCAGGGTTACGCCAAAAGCTTCGGGAGCCTTGCAAATATCATGTGTGTTATATTTATTGTTGACTCATAAAATGTTTCACTTCCCTAGTAAAGTTCTTTAATTTTATACAACATCCCGCCGGCTACGAGATTTTGCAGGGAATCTCTAGGTAATCCTAAGTGTTTTATGGACTGTACCATAATATAAGGGGGTTAGGGTTAGGGCTAGTGTTAAATAAAGTGATTTTGCGTACATATTCTTTAGATAATGTCTTGCACTGGTAGCTCAATCTTGGAATGAATACGCTGTTTATAATCTGTTTCTTTAAATTCATAGTTATGCTTAGATGATTCAAAAATGGTGACAATTGGTAAATAAATCCACTTGCTTTCCAACAATTAGTTTATTTTTCTACACAAATTCTGCCATCTTCTATTATCACACTTCTCAGATATACAAATTCCCTAACTCATTTGGGACCATAACCATTTGACTATGTGGAATGAGCCAGGGGTTCTACTTACTGTTATTGTTACGGTTTTGTTTGCTTAGATTTTTATGTTTTATTTACCGCATACGAGCTCAACCTGTCAATGTGGTCTTGCTGTCTTTATTCTCCACTGTAGAATATGAGTTTAAATTTTCGTTTAATATATTGTTATAAAAGTGTACTTTTGTATTACGACAATTATGTTCATTTTTATATATACAAAATGAAATATTATTTCTTTCTATTTATAAATGACTCTCCAAGGCATTATTCACATTGGTGTATTTATATTTATCACGTCCCTCCAGGTTTGATCAACGCTGACCTCTGCTGCCCACCTCCCCCTTCCCCTCCCTACCCACCCACCCACCCACCCCTAATTATGATTGCTACGTTGTATTTCGTCATCATGTTTTCCTTTGCTTGACGTTTCGCTCATTTCGTCTGACACTTTTCTTAACACTAGAGGGTTTAGCTAGAAACACTCTCTGCCGCAATAGGCGTGATCCCTATGTCTCCATATAGTATATCATACCATTATCGTCTAGAAGGAATCAACTGTGCTAACACACACATACCCACACACACACACACACATATATATATATATATATATATATATTCACATATTCCATGAGAGACTACATAAGGGAGGAGTTGATGGTAATATACCACTTTTAGATTTACAGGATAACACTGAAGACCCACAACTGCAGAAGTTACAGATACCAAACGACATACATTGCTTGTCTTCTGTTCAGTTCTTCTGCATAATAAATCTATGTGTTCCAGTTGTGACATTAACGGCATCTACTACAAACTGCATTATTTAATCAATTTGACTACAAGACCTCTATTCTAAAGAACAAAGCCTAAAGAGTTCATTTGGTCGAAGTATTGCAGCACCCTACCAAACCTAGATGGATATTAAGAATATAATTCAAACCACTGCAGAAGAATGTCTTTGTGTGTCCACCATAAACAGAAAGAACAAATGGTTCGATGCAAAATGTGAAGAGGCAGTCAGTAAGAAAAAATATGCTAGGCAGATTTGGCTAAATGATACTAGTAACATACGAAATGGAGAAAAATATAGAACAGAATGTAAAGAAGCTACAAAAGTAGTTAGGCACCAAAAGCGATTATACATAAACAACATTGTCATGGATATGGAAGTTAAACATCAGAAAAACGAATCCAGAATGTTTTTTAAAGAACTCAAGTCTGTAAAACGAGAACATCAACAAGGCCTTTATAGTTTAAAAGATTACAATGGGAACATGATAGATAATATTGAGGAAATATGTAACAGATGGAAGGAATACTTTGCTGAATTGTTAAACTGTGAAACTCCACTTAATACTTATTTACAGGAAGAGATTTTAACACGTGAACCAAATATTGAAGAGCCTGATTTTGAAGAAGTACTGTATGTAAAAATAATAAAGCAATTGGTGTTGATGGAATTGCAGCTGAACTTTAAAATGAAGGTGGTGATGCATTCATTACACGTAAAGTTAAATAAATTGAAAAACACTAATTTGGAAGACGGAGAAACTACCCCATGAATGGAAAGTGTCTTTATTTTTAAGAAAGTGTGAAAATTATAGAGGAATATCACTATTATCTACAAGCTATAAGATACTATCGTTGGTGCTGCTAAACCAGCTAAAACCATTAGTCGAAGACTTACTGAGAGATTACCAAGGTTTCCGACAAAACAGATCAACAATAAATCAGATATTGATTTTACGGCAAATAGCAAAGCAAAATTGGGAATATAGAAAAGTTGTACATAATTTTTTGTGGATTTTAAAAAGGCGTATGATAGTGTTTTCAAGAAGCAACAGTAAAATATGACAACATCTGCTCACCCCAGATAGAGATCAAGAGAGGAGTAAGACAAGGATGTGTGCTGTCGCCTAGCCTTTTCAACTGATGTACAGAAACCATTTTTTAAAGAAGTTGTAGAATTACCAGGACTGCACATCAATGGTAGAATAATAAACAATCTGAGATATGCGGACGACACAGTGTTGCTAGCAGAGAGTGAGCAGGAGTTGCAAGACCTAGTGGAGCAAGTAAACAGAAGGAGTGCAGAATTTGGATTAGATATAAATTTGAAAAAGACAAAAACCATGATATTTAGCAGAAAAAATAATCAGCTAACAATGAATATCACAGTGAATGGGGTGAAATTGGAACAAGTTAAAAATTTCTTATATCTTGGACAAGTAATAACATGTGACGACAGAAGTAAAACAGAAGTCAAGAAAAGAATAGGGATGGCCAAAAACATTTTCAACAACATGCAAACGTTTCTGACATCAAGAGAAAAAAGCAATACATTAAAAATAAGAATTGTCAAATGTTATGTATTCTCAACCTCACTGTATGGCACAGATACATGGACAATGTACAAACAACTGGAAAATCGTATCAATTCTTTGGAGATGTGGATATACAGAAGACTAGGTCGTATTTCATGGAAACAAAAGCTATCAAGTACAGAGGTACTGAGGAAATTGGGAATGAAAAGAGAGTTGCTAGGTGAAATAAAAAAGAGACAAGTGAAATATTTTGGCCACATTAAAAGACATAACAGTATTGTAAAGATCATCCTAGAGGGAAGGGTTCAAGGTGGGCGTGCAAAAGGCAGACAGCGTTACAAGGGGGAGGATAACATCAAGAGATGGACGAACAGCAGTATGAGTGAGTGTACATCAAGGGCAAGAAACAGGGCTTGTTGGAGATCCATTGCAGCCAACCTTCATTGTGGAGACGGCACCTGATTGATTGATGATAGTGTGCATGGAAACAGTGTATGGAATGCTATGAAGGACTTAGGAATACCAAAAAAAAGTTAATTAGCATGACCAAACAATGTATTGAAGACACTATTATTATAGTAATATATAAAGGCAGAAAGTCTGACCCTTTTCAAATAACATCTGGTTCAAAGCAAGGAGATGCTCTGTCCCCACTTCTTTTCAACTTGGCCCTGGAGAAAATTATAAGGAAATTGAAACAAGAGTGTACTATATGAGAAACTTCAAAAATAATTGGATATGCTTTTGACATTGATATTGTTGGAAAAAATGAACTAGAGACTGTTAAAACACTAAATGTCTTTAAAGAATCAGCTCAGAAAATGGGACTAGTTATCAATCAAGATAAGACATAATACATGATAACTAGAGAGTGAAAGGATATAAACTCCGGCCACATACAAGTCGATAATATAAAAATAAAACAAACGGAAATGTGTAAGTACTTGAGTGCAAACTTTAACTGCTTCAAATATGCTGAGAAAAGAAATATATTCTAGAACACAATCTGGAAATAAAGTATACTATGCCCTTCAAGATTTTCTAAAGTCAAAGTGTCTGTTTTGCATCACCAAGATCAAAATATATAAAACGTTGTTAAGACCGGTCGTGTTATATGGCTCTAATACTTGGAGCACAACTAAAAGAGATGAAAACTTATTACAGGTTTTCGAAAACAGAGTCTTACGACGAATCTTTGGACCCATCAAAGATGCAAACAGCGGGGAATGGAGAGCGAGAAGCAACAACGAAATTCATAATCTGTTTAAATCACCACTGATCACCGGCATCATAAGAGCTAATAGACTGAAATAGTTGGGGCATAATGCAAGAATGTCAGATGACATAGAAGTTAAAAACTGTATACACGAGGGAGAGCAAGAAGACGATGGAGAGATAATATCCAGACAGACCTGCAAACTTATGGTGTTACCAAATGGAAAGAGAAGACCAACCAGAGAGATGAATGGAGACGGGTGATATCTGCAGCAATGAACCTCAAGGGCTCGGAATGTTGAAGAAGAAGAAGAATTGCAGCATCCTAGAAACGACGCCAACACATTTTCCAATCTCACCTTTGGTGAAGATTCAGATGAATGTCGAAAGAGTGTTCTTTCTTTAGCCCCTATTATTTAAAACCAAAATACTGCTATATTAATCAACACATTCAAATGCAGGTACTTTAGAGTTAATTTTCAAAACATCTCTTACTTACTTTTACTATCTTTCTTTTTTTTTTCCCCTGCGTTTTCTGCATATACCTCCCACTGCTCATTTTGCGTAGTTGCGTTCCGGTCATGTTTGTCTCTAAATAAATCTGGTTTTCACTGTGTATTTATATCTTCCTCTGTGGTTTTTTTTTAGTGCTGGTGCATATTTCTTCTTCTTCGAGTTCACTCGATGAAAACTCCGGTGGAAAGTTCTCATTCTTCGTCCACTTGTTCCCCCCCCCTTTTTCCCCCAACCCCACATCCCTGATGGGATCACTGTAACCCACAAGAAGATTCCATTGATATTATTTATTGTTATTATGCAAACGTAGATGTAATATTTACATTCAGTCTCGTAAGTATTATTTGTATTTTGTTTTTGAAAGAAATGTGCCTTATTGTTTTCCATTATTTCCTTTTATATTCATTTATGTAAGCTAATAATAGCAAGCTTGTTGTCTGTATGTCTAATAAAGATATAATAACGAAACAATTTTCTATATTTACATTGCAAGATTTTTTAACCACTTGATACTGTACTCACTAGATTTGTTTGAGGAA